AAAACAGGTGACAGCTCAGCACAGCCTGGTTTAGAATTACTTTTTCTTTGCTGACAAGTCTGTCTGTAGAAATTAAGACTTTTTATTTTCCTTTTTGAAATGTCATCAATCAATGTCATTCGGCATGTGGGTGAACTCAACTTAATATAGTGACTTCGCAGCCCAAAATCTAGTATCAAAGAAAGTAAGAGTACTTAAAAACCTATATGAGACTTCAGCTACAGAGCTATTACATTCCCATAAATCTTCTCAGTATGTCACAGTTTTGCTCAGCTTGAACATATTGAATCAATTTAGCAACGTATTCTGCCAACTCTTCAGTGCACATTTGCCACAAGAAATCAAGTCCACAGCCATGCGACCCACCCCATGAGACTGAAGCGCTTCACTTCATTCTTTGGAAACAAAACTGCTGAATGTAAGAAAAATTGAAACGCTATTCTGTTTAAGTCTTGTGCAGATATTCACACCTAGATTTGTTTCATATTGAAGTACAGATTTGACAACCTGTGAAGAGTGAGAGGTTATAAAGACAGATGTTTTAGACTCACCACGGGGTAAACAAAAACAAAACAATGCTGTCCACACCAATTTGAAACAGCTCGTCTTTGGGTTTACTTTTAGGAGGGCTTTTACAGAAAACGCCCAAAGAATCAACTTGACCCCCCCCCCTTCACAGACACACACAAATTTACTTTTCTCTATGCAGTCACCCATCAGCAAACAATGCTTTGAAGGTCCTGTACCTGAACAGAGTGGTGGAACTGAACCCAGGCTTCATATGGGATTTCATTCTCAGGCACTGACAGCAACAGTTCAAAACAGCTCCTGTAGTAAAAACAAGGAGATGTTTTATGACACTATAATAAAACAGTGCAAAACAGAACAGCCAACGACAGTATGAAGAGTGTGCAGAGTATGATCCAACCTTCAAGCCACCATGGCCGCCCCCCAACAAGGCAGTGTTCCTAATAATTCAATATTAATATTCACTAATATTCCTGTAGACATGGATCTGTGTGCATGCCAATTAATATCCATTAATTTTCTTGTCCAACAAGGATCCCCTGAAGCCTATTACCGCTGACATTAGAGTGGGGTGCGCCTTCAAAAGATAGCCGGTTGCTGGCAAAAAGAGAGAGGCAACCATTTATACCCACATCCACAGACAACTACAATTGTGGTGGGAAGCTGGAGCACCCAGAGAGAACCCACACAGACCTATGGAAACACAGGCAAACACACTGAAACACTGCAGCTGACCAGATACAAAATCTTCTTGCTATGAGGTCAGCGACAATAACTGCATAGTACACAAATACTGAAAAGTGAAGGTGCTTCAATTATTTTGTTTCGTTGCATCAAAACATTTTCAGCAGTGGCCAACTTGTTTGACTGTACATCCACAGCTTTTGTTAATTCTTCAAGCACCATTCTGTAGGCTTGTGTAAAGATATTTGCACACAAATTGTCTAATTGCCAAATAATTGTTATACAAATGTGTCCATTCACATACGAGTTTCTGTTCAGATAGCATATTGGTTTTACCCACCAAAACTGTGCTTTACGTGTCAGTCAAACAGTGATTGGTTGATAAGTGGGCTGATTTCACTTAAGGTCTTTGTATGTTATAACTTGGCTCTTCTCCATAGCTGGCTAACAGACCAACAACAACACAAGCAAGAGTAGCCCACTCCATCTGACAAAGCACACCCTCTACATGTAGACTGGCAGTCTAAGACTGCCCACAGATTCTTTTGGCTACCTCAAGCAAAAAAAAAAAAAACAAAAAAAAAAAAAAAAAAAAAAAAAACAACTCCCAAAAAACAAAACAACAACAGGATTCCATGTTTACAATTATGTGCATCCCTCCTTCTAACCAGAAATGTAGGCTTTTCTTGGGGACATGCATCACTAACCTAGCCTTGCAAATTGTTGTGTAGTTTGTGTACAACAAGCAAGCGGCCACATGTTGCAAACTGCAGCAAAAACAGGTAAACGAAATGTGCATTCAAACCAACAGTGTTTTTAAACGTAAAAACAAATCAGCATGCTGAAGACGTTTAACATACCGTTCACATGACTAATACAGTTTATTCAGGATAACAGTGGATTTTCAGTGCACATGTAATGAGACAACTCCCTACACCTTTGATCGCATCATGCCTCTAAACCTTTCCTGGCTGAAGATGTATGACTGGTCCTAGCAACGAACACAAAGGCACAAATCTCTGACCTAGTTCAGCTCATGTTGAGAAATTCACAAAATTTCTTAGATAACTCATTATTTGTAGTACGAGACCTTTAATGCCCCTTCAAGGACGTCTTGAAGCACATCTAATCCCAAACAACAGCCACTCAATCCCAGTCAGTGTGCGCTTTGATTCCTTTTTGTTTTGGTTTGCAAATGACAGTTACTTAAACTAATATTTTTTTAAATGACAAAACCAATAATGCTATAGCCTTTAAAAATAATAATAATAATAATAATAATAATAATAATCAGTTAGTACCAGGAAGCACAGCATGCATATAACTGTGCACAAAATGAAGAACATACAACAAAATTAGCTGAGGTTATTATTACACTTACCACTGCTTACGTTTTACACTTAGTATCACTGCATACCTCAGATTTAAACCATAGCTATGACATTTACATCAATTTACAAAACCACTTATTTCCTGTGTTGGCAATTTACCCTCTATATTTCAGCAATGTTTTCCCATTTTCAATGTATAAATGTACTTTTATGCCCTGGGCAGAGGCAGGCTGCAATTGCACCAAATCGGTTGGAGGATTTCCATAATATTTAGTTTTTTTGTTTGTACTCGGACTGTTGTGAGAAAGCTAAAAGTCTTTCATATTAGGAAAGCCACCTATTGTACTATGTCTCTTTCTGGACTCCTCTATGCTTTATTGGTGTTTCTTTACCCATTCAAATATGGAAAAAAAACAGTCATTGATATACATACTGCAAAAACATTTGTTTAATGTTCTTAGACCAATGACATATCTGGAACATTTCATTTGTACATTCTCCCCAACTCCATGTTCTGCTTTGAATTTATTAAGCAAAGCAAAGAAAGAAAAAAAAGGAAGCAAAAATGAAACAAAAAATAAAACTGAACCAACAGAAAAAGACATGTTAAGAAGGCTGAACGGAAAAAAGCGCCAGGATCATCAGTGCCTCGGAATAGCGGCAGGCATATGGAGAACACGAATAAAGCATTTAGTCAGATTGCAAAGTGTACTTGTGAGGATTGGCAGATGGAAAAGAGGGAGACTAGACTCACTCCCACTGGTTAATAGTTATTACCACTTAGGAAAGAAACAATCAGCGTTGGTGTCTTTAATTGTCAACGCTTGATCTCATTTTCAGACAGTACAAGCCTGCTGTATAGGTGTAATGACTTGAGTTTACAGAGAATGCTTGAATTTGAGCTACATTAGACAAAGTTGAGTGAGCAGGCTATTAAGGACTTTGTAAATAATTGAAGAAGCTGAGGGGAGTGCAGCTGTAGAGAAAACAATAAAAAAAATTAAAAAAAATAAAGGAAATGTGTTTTTATAGTGGTGATGCAGGTAAAGCCGTTTGCAAGTGGTAAAAGATGGAGCCCTGCAATAGAACTGTAGTAAACAGGCTTCCTCAGCTTCCTGTCTAACCAGAGAAGATGAAGGCTGAAGACACAAACTCTCAGAAGAGCTATTCACTGGAAACTAGTAGACAGAGAGACAGAGAGAGAGAGGGGACAGGCCCACCTGCCCCATCCCTCTCGCTGTGGGGAATGAGGCACAAGGGGGGATGTTACTGTGAACAGGTCTCAGGTGGCCCACCCCCACAGAACGCATGCAAAATAACCCAATCTGATCCTGCAGGAGGTGTTTGTATCAGACTCAGTCACTTCTCTAGTCTACTGCATTTCTTTTCTGTTTGGTGCTTTCACTTCCTTTTGCAGTGCACACTCAGAGCCTGTATGACACACTACCAAGAATGTTGATTTTTATAATGTTAAAATTAAAAAAACTTAAAAAAAAAAAAAAAAAAAAAGGCTGTGTATCCAAAAACATTAAGTTACACTCGTAAAAAACATGTTGGTATTCCTTTTGTGTCAAAGCATAATAACTGAATTTGATATACCTGACATGACATTTGTTGTGATATGACTATTACACATGCACACAATACGTATAGTCTTTGTCTATACAAGTTATATTGAAATGATTTCCAATTGCTCCCACGCATAAACCAGACATTCAAACTACTTTGACACCTCGCACACATTCTCATGACATAATCAATTGCTTATCTCTCATAATTCAGTATATTTTACAGTACTCACAAAGCTAGCCGCTTCAAAACGAGGGCCACTCTGTCGGATTCTGCCGTGAGGTGGGATCGAGCTGAAGCAAAGCAGTTTATGGACAGACAGTAGACCTCCAGAAGAGGCAGCCCATGTTCCATGGAATTCCTGCTTCCAGCATAGTGCATCAGTGCCTGCAAAGACACACAAAGGCATCAGAAACTGAAAAAATAGTTGATGAAGCAGATTTGAAAGTAGAGTAGAAATATGTAGTAGCAATGTTCAAAAACTACGACCAGAAGAGGAAGCATTTGCCATGGATGATCAAAGGTTTTCACCTGAGGGAGATACCTGTCTATACCTGATTGATCCCAGCTGACACACTGTCAGGTGTGTGCCTGCTGTGCTCCTGATTGGGCCTGAGGGGACTTAACTGTTGCTTTAAAACAAAAAAAGGAAGGAAGACTTCATACAGTATATGATCATCACACATACATAATGATCTCATACTGTATATGACCATTAAATTTGAGTTCTTGGGATGATTCAACCTGGTATAATTTCACACAATTTAAAACATTAGAATCAAATTCAATTAATTAAATTAATATTACCTACAAGAAACAGGTGTTTTATATAACTCAACATTTAATGTTAACAGGGAGGAAGGTCTCGTTTTGAGCAAATACTCAGCGATCAGCTGTCCTTCAGGAACAGAGAAGTCAACATCTACACCCATCTGTCACCTGCTTGTAGTTGGTGGGTATACACATTAAATCATCATAGTGCTATCAGCATCCCAGGAGTCTCATTTGCCAGATAGAAGGAACTTTTCTAGGTGGTTCTCATGCCCACAGAGGCACTAAATTAATTCCCCTCTGTCTAAATATACAATACCCTCTCAAAGGAAGGTAGGAATAAAGTCTAGGCCCTAAAGACCTACATCAGTGTACTAATTACATCCGTGAGATTTCCGACTGGAATTGGGAGTCACACAGATCTTTTTGCCTTTATTTTACGAAAACCTAGAAGATTGAAGTTAAAACTGTACCAAAATTGAGTTTTAATGTTAAATCAAGTGTCATTTTACACAGTTACCAACACTAAACATGGGAACGCATACAATCTTTCAATTTACTTATAAAGGGGAAGTTAGAGCTGTTGAAATCATTGAGAAATATTCAAAAGCAGCCTAATTAAAGAAGACCTGTCAGGGTGAGCTAGCTAATGAATTACTCCTGCTATGCCATTCTCGAAGGCTGCTGAACAGGTTTCAAGGGAAGCTCTCTAATGGTTGAAAAACTTGTAGAGTCCCTTAAGCAGCAAAAATGAAAGTGATACCTAGTTTTTAGTTAAATCAGATCCTTTAGAAAGCGGAAGCCACAGTAATTTCCCTACCATGATGAAGTAGCTGAACGCCCCCCAACAACAAAAATATTATGATAAACATACCTCGACGCTGCCCCGCCCCACATGCATGCAGTAATACATGATCTGCAAACTGTGTCAATAAATTCATACAAACATCTGTATTACATTTCCTTCGTTGCCACCATAATCACTTCCCAAATAAAGCAAAGCTAAAAGACCTTTGATCTTTGAATGTAAGGCAATTGAACCTGCAAAATGAGCAACAAATCACTGAGCTGCAAATAAGTCCAACGGCCGTGAGTTGTTTGGGTGTAAAAATAATAATAATAATAATAATGACAAAAAACACAAAAGCATAAGCAAATATGCGCAAAAATAAACGTAATGCAATTGGGTGTAATCCTAACCTAAACTTGGCCAGTTAGCTAACAGGCCAGCAATCGTTGCTGGTAATTCTGCTTGCGGGATGCGAGAGGGAAAAAACAGTCCTGGGTGAGCTAACGATAGGCTAATTGTAGCTTCGATGCTGCATGTACACATTACCTGACAGAAGTTATCGCAGTACTCCGTGGAAGACGCTACGGAGATTTCTTGTTGCCTGAGGACGTCCTCGAAAGCTCTCAGTGTGGCCAGCAGGTTTTCCATTGCAACTAGGGTATCTTCGGCCGTGTCCACGGCCCAGTCGCTCCATTCGTGCTCTGGTTCGACATTATTCTCCGCCATCTTCACTCTCCACCACAGCGCGTATGCAGTGCAGTCTGACGACCCCTTCAATGCTGTCGGAATATTTAAATACATCAGCTGAACTGACACCAAGATCACCTGAAAAGTAAGTAGAGGGGGTGGTAAGAGCAGAAATACAAAGTGGGCTTGTACTGTTATATTCAGGCCGTTGTTGCTATTCCTTTTTAACCGCAATATCGATATACTTTATTTTCTATCCAATATCAACTTTGCTCTCTAAATTTATGCGAACAATAATTCAGTTATTCTGCTTAATTTTAGCTCTGTGTGCTTTTTCTTACATCCATCTCTTTCTATTCTATTTTTTTCAGTCTGAAAATAATAACCTTTATTACAGTTTTTCTCGGGTGGTACACTGACACTGATAGTTACGCAAAGCACCAAAAGGTAGCGTGACATAGAGCATAACACACCTGACAGCTTATCAGACCAGAAAAAAAAATCCACTGCACTGTACCCCCCCCCCCCCCCCCCCCCCCCAAAAAAAAAAAAGAAAATCGTAATAATTGGTTGATCAAATATTATTCAACTTTATTCAACTTCGGTGGCGATTTTTCGCTAAAACTGTATACCAAATAAGTGCTCAGCTAGCGCTATTAGTAAAAATCCGATATTCTAGGAAAATAAATGTTAATCTGAAGTGAATTACAATTAAATATAATTTTGTTAGCGTTTAAATTAAAATAGTTAAGGTGTTTTTATTATCGCCCCACTGTTAGAGACCGGGAGTTTGGTGCCCTCTGGAGGTGACTGCGTAGCATCGTTCTACTCTATTGACCCGGAAATAGATCTCACTTCTCTCGGTTACACGTGTGGAAGGTAAGCAAAGTCTGAAAATAACATCTGCGACGGCTTATTAGATGTAGATCGGCTGCAGTAACGATTGATTAGACGTTAAACGCATATTTTTGATCGCTATTTGTAAATAGATTCTAAGAATATTAACTGAGAAGTATCAGTGAAACAATCGAAAGATTTTAATGTTGACACAAGTCTGTGACGTGTCTGCGTTCATTTTGGGTGATTAAAACCCTTTTGTTTCACACAGTACCAACTGGTTATCATGGGGAAGTCCAAACAAACCCGAAACCACAACAATGGCAAGAAGAAGAACATTGCAAAGACCTGGAAGACAAAGCGCAGGACCAAAGACCTGGATCAGATCCACTCAGACATGAAGCCCGACACAGCTGCTAAACTGCTGCATCAGGAGGTTGACTACGATGTAACCGGATGTGCACAACACTACTGCTTACACTGCGCGTAGGTATTTCTCTGTTTACTGTAACAGTCCATCTGTTAACTGACTTTGCTTGATATATATGCTGCTTACTAAACTCTTAGTCTTCATCAGCATTTCCTTTAGTAAGATATTTAATATTTCACCTTAAGTTCTGCCGAACTTTTCCAATTGGGGTTGGAAAAGAAGTAAATCTTCCCATATGAAAAGCTGGAATGGAGAAATATTCTGCACTGTCCAAGTCTGAGGCCACAGGCTCAGCTGGAAAAGGGTGGCGTACCCAATGATGAATGATTAGAGCAAATTTCAGTCCTAATCCAGGGTTCCAGACCCTCATGGCTTCCTTAAAATGAAATGCCCTCTTCTTATATTCTCTCATGCTGTGAGCTGTTCATCTGTTAAATTTTTAAGAAACATAGATTTTTTTAAATGTAATGGCTCTTCTTGTTTTGCAGGAGATATTTTGTGGATATGAGATCCTTGAAAGAGCACTTCAAAACTAAAGTGCATAAAAAACGGTAAGCGGACCACTCTACAGTCACATATTTGGACTTACAGCTCGTAATCCTATCCATGTAAGTTTCATGGCTTACCTCCTTTTTTCCCCATCCAGACTGAAACAGCTCAGAGAAGAGCCCTACACCCAGGAAGAGGCAGAGAGAGCAGCAGGCATGGGCTCATACATCCCTCCAAAAGTTGTTGAAGTGAAGACCCAACCATTAGAGCAGGACATGGAATGAAAGCCTCTTACATTAATCCACGGACTGATTAACTCATAAAAGCGGCATTAGCAGTTAATGCTTGCAGTTATTGTTGTCACAAACTTTATTAGCAAATCTGAAAATGCCTTTTGTGACAGATGTTTGTTTTTCAGCCAGCTGTGAGAAACGTGGTTGTTAAACTTCCATCACCAAGTTCAGAAGGCTTCTCCTTACAATCAGATGCATTGTCTGCCTATGTAAATACAAAGGACGGTGGAATGTTTTCTACAATAATAAATTTTGTGGAGTTGATTGAGTCACATTACATGTGTGGAGTACAGCAGTGCAGTTAGAGCTGTACCTGAACTTACCAGACATAGAAATAGAGGAAAACATGCATTTCTGTACACAAAGTAATATTTATTTTTCACTCTGTTTGTTCATTTCAAATACTGGACAGTTAACTAAGTTTGACTATTGATAGAAAATGTAATTCTACTGTGTACTATATACCTTATTTTGTAACTGCTTCAAATGGAGGGAATTGGAGATGTGCATAGTGATTCAGATGTCTGCGACCAGGCAACTTATACCTCGTTAAACTTCTAAATGTTCTTAATTAAACAATTTTGAGACAACACTGCACAGAGATCATATCATCATGTCTCATTTTACAGGTCAGAAGGATCAGGAATGACACAGTTGGAGTGCTTGTGCTTTAGTTGGAGGCACTGGGTTTCACACGTAGTCCCCTATTTTCAGTGGCCTAGTAACTGAGCAAACTATCATAATTTTAAATATCAGGATTATTTTTAATGCTTCAGTGGAAATTCTTGGCACTCGATGGCTGTGTGAAATCCACAATCCATGAGCGTTACCAGTGCTGCAGCCACCTTCGGCTGTGTGTTTGTGAGTCTCTTCATTCAGTTTTGAATTTAATTACCGAAAAGCTAATCTGTTAGGTTGAAATCAGGTGACGGATTGAAAAATATCCCATATGTTTGTCTTGAGAAACACTTGGGTTGCTCTTGAAGTATGCCTTGAGCAAGAATCTGTTTACTGTGAATCTGTGAAGCTTTGTCTGATCAGTTTTGCAGTATTTGGCTGAATCTGAGCGGACAGTATAGCCTTGTACACTTCACAATTCATTCTGCTACTTCTATCAGCAGACACAATGGTGGCCAACTTCCACTGTCAGCCATACATGCCCATGCCGAAAAATTGTCTCTACCATGTTTGAAAAATAATGTGGTTTAGTGTAGATCTTTCCCCATACTTTTATCTCACTGGTTTCATCTTTCCAAAAAAAAAAATTCCTTTGCAGCCTAATCTGGTCTTCCTGTTCTTGAGTGTAACCAGTGGGTTTCACTTAATTGTAAATCCTGTACTCATGAAGTCATCTTTTGATTGCAGACTTTCATAATGATATTCCTTCCTCCTCAACAGTGCTCTTGACTTAAATAGCTGTTGTGAAGGGGATTCTGAAGCAAGGCAGTAACTGCGATCTTCCGCTATATTTGTCTTGTGTGGTTTTTCAGGCATTTTGCGTTCCTGAGCTGGTCAGTGCATTTTTTCCCCTGCAGAACTGTACCAGGTTGGTCAACCCTAAAGTTTTTGCTCCCACTCTGATAGGTTTGTTATGGCTTTTCAGCCTAATCATAGCCTCCCTGATAATCTCTCTGGGCCTCATATCGAGAATTCCAGTGACCAGCTACCAAATGCAACTTGAAAATTTGGAATAAACTGCAATTCTTTTATTGATTTTTTTAATGGAATAATCAGGTCAATCAGGTGTCCAATAATTGTATAAAGTTGGTTATAATTCTTAAGCATTTAATGCAATACTTTTGTTCAATCCCTCACATGAAAGCTGAACGTTTGCATTTTAAGCACAGAAAGACAACATGACAATCACAAAATAAAGTTCCAGAGAAAGAATACTGGAATATACCGTTGTAAGGTTCTTGGCCATTCAGGAGTAATGGACACACAGAGAGACAAGTAGCTCTTTAGTCCTCCTTTGGGCTCCAGATGTGAGAGTCAGAGTTTAGCATCAGAATAAGAATACTTTAATAAACCCTAAGGAAATGATGTGATTTACAGCTGCTCCAAGACAATAATAGTAACAGACTGAACTAATTGTATAATACAATATATTACAAACTTTTAAAAGTATTAGAATTAGCTTATTTATACATATCAAAAATGTTACAGAGGTGAAATATATATGATTGACATTTTACTCTAACCTGTACAACTTTGTCTTTGTTATTTTACTGTAGAGGATGTGCAAAAGGGTGTAACTATAGCAGTGTGTACTGTGCATTAGATGGAGGAGTTGTACAAAGAGACAGGTACAGGCAGGAATGATTTCCTGTGTCATTCAGTGGTGCATTTGGGTAATTTCAGTCTCTCACTGAATGTGCTCCTGTGACTGGCCAGCAGGTCATGGAGTGCATGCAAAGGTATTGTCCAGCATTGTCCTTATCTTGGACAACATCCGCTTCTCCAACACCACCCTAAGGGAGTCCGGCTCCGTCTCCACAACATTACTGGCCTTGTGGATCAGTTTACTGACCCTGTTGGCATCTGCAACCTTCAACCTGCTGCCCCAGCATGCAACAGCGTAGAGGAGGGCATTGGCCACAACAGACTTGTATAACTCCTGAACATTGCACGACAGACATTGAAAGACCTCAGCTGCTTCAGAAAATGGAGACAACTCTGGAGCTTCCTGTAGAGTGCAGTGGTGTTTTAACCCAGTCCAGTTTATTATCTATGAGTACACCAAGGTATGGTGTACACATAGATGATGAGGTGGAGATGATTCTGCTCACACCACGTGACAAAGGAGTCAACCACAGCCCGGTACTCCATCTCATCACCCTCATTGATGCATCCAACCACTGCAGAATCATCAGAAAACTTCTGAAGATGGCAGGACTCTGCGCAGTGGCTGAAGTCTGTAATATAGATGGTGAAGAGGAAGGGGAGGTGCTCCTGTGTTGCTTATCACCTTGTTAGACACACAATGTTAAAGACGCACATATTGTGGTCTTCCTGTAAGGTAATCAACAATCAAGGACACAAGAGATGCATCCGCCTGCATCACTGTCAGCTTATCACCCAGAAGGGTTGGCCTGATGGTATTGAATGAACTGGAAAAGTGGAAAAACATGACCCTCACAGGTCTCACCGGCTGGCCCAGATGGGCGTAGACAAGAATGAGCAGTTAGATGATGGCGCCCTCAGCTCCAAGGTGGGGCTGGCAAGCAAACTCAAGGGGATTCTGATGTGGCCTGGCTATAGGTCGGGGCTAGGCAAGGATAAGTCTTTCCAGGGTCTTCACAACGTCCCACAGGCCTGTAATCCTGTGGCACTGAATTAATATTGCACTAAAATGTTGAGGTAAGGCTACTTTAGTGCCTTTTGTTTGGGGGGAGTAACCTTTTAAATGTGCCTATTGTACATCAATGATAAATACATTTACATTTATAAACCCATGGATTTTCGTAACTCATATGCCACCTTTTGAGGTGAGGAGGTGTCCATAGATCAGCTATAGCTATAGGTTCAAACCCCAGCTCTGCTGAGCTTCCATTGCTTGGCTCTTGAACAGGACCCTCATCCCCGCAATGTATATATTACAAAGCAGCAGATAAATAAATACGAACCGTTAACGCATTTAAGATAACCCAATTAATTAAGTGATACATGAATTGATTTTTCTGTTTAAAAGTAAGAGCGGAGATTTTCACTTTAAGCAAAAAGCTTCTTACATCTTAGCACACGCTTATGACAGCATCAAAGTAAAGGTTTGATAGTTTTAATGGAGTGTTTAATTCTATTGCAGACAGATCTAACCATTAAAGAGAAGATAAAAAGAAACAAAGGTTAAACCTCTGCTTCTAGATTAACTTACATAAAATAAAGGTAAGTAAAAACAAAATTTTTGGACAGAGCCATTTGGCAGATACATTTATAACTCATTATAAATTAGTTGCATTGTTCCTTGCGTGAACAATGCAACCATATGTCTTTAAATACAGCTACTGCCCCAGTGTACCCAGTAAAAAGATTGTAAAGTTATACTTCCGGTTATTACTTTCAAAATAAATCGTGGCGCTTAGCTTAGTTTAATTGAGTTTTTCTTTTTTGCCAGTAACCAACAACGACTTTGGCATTTTGCTAAAAAAATATATTTGAATTCAAAACAAGTTGATCATAATATCAACTTACAAAAAATTGCTACATTACGACACTCTCGCGCTTTTATTTTGAAAGCCAAAACACTATACATCCGCTTTACCGTGCCAATTACATGCTAGCTTGACACCTTAACTGCATCCATATGGCTCGAGATTGGATGTGGGAAATAAGAAATCTGTGCTGCTAGCTAACATTGCACAGCTGTTGCCAGCGGGGGTAACGGCCAGAGAAGAAGCGAGATCCTCTTCTGCGGGACAGAAAAAGTCCCGCTAGACTCGTCGCACTTTTTAAAGGAGCAAGTTAACACTGAAAGACGAACATGCCCTCGACTAAATAGCTGTGGTGGAGGTCGAGGATGGCCGCAGACGTAGATAAAAGAATCCCGGAGGAAGAGAAAAAGATTTCGCCGCACAATGGGAAGCAGAGCCTGGGCTCGAGATCCTGGATCTGCAGGGGGATGTGGACTTGGGTGGTCGTCTGTGCTGTTCCTCTGTTCGCTTTTGGGATAAAGTACTACCAAGATGCCCAGCTCCTCAAACGTCATGTGAGACCCAAATCTGTAATTATGTTATATCACAGTTTAACAGTGATCTCGACTTGGTGGGTCTAGCTGTGTTAATAGAAACTTTGCAGTGATCTTCTCGTCCTTTTGAGGACCCATGATTACATTAATATCAGCGCAGGGACATTCTGCTATTATCTTGCAGTAGTTTTCTCTGTAACAGATGTGTTTCGATTATTTATTTAGCGGACACGCAGTCACCATAAAGCTCCACATCTGCAGTTTTTCCACCCCCGTAGTGTTTTATTATAGGGGGGTGGGTCTTTGTCACAGCTGTTAAAACTCACCCCCTTGTCCACATCCACACTTGTTTGGTTACTGAGGGTCTCCAAGTTGTTCTTGCACCTCCCTCCCCCTCTTCCCTCCATTGTAAGGTCGCTGGTAGGCACGCGTCTGCTTCAGAAAGGGTGATTTGACTGAAATGCATGCTAGGAATCTGCCTCCTCAGGGATGATCTTTATCCAGGCAGGATGCTCAGTCATTTGGGATAATGTAGCACATTACTTTAAATGTGTCATCATCTGAGCGAATGTTTTTGTAGTAGTAATAATTTAAAATATTTGCATTTCATGTGAAATTAATGTCCTAAAAAAATATTAGGACATTAAGACCCTAATGTCCTAATATTTTTTTATGCTGCATTAAAAAAAAAAAGAAAAAAAAAAAAAGCATATGAAATGACCGTGAAGATCAGTCTAATGCATGTGTCCCTCCAATAGGAAGAGAGTGTTCGGACACTGGGTGCCGAGGGGCTTTTTCTCTTCTCCTCTTTAGACACCGACCACGACTTCTATCTCAGTCCGGAGGAGTTTAAACCTATTGCAGAGAAGCTCACAGGTGCATCATGTTACCTTTCTTTGTGCTTGTCACTTTTGTCCAATCATTTTCCTTCAGTCTCCTTTGTTACCTATCGTTGTGGTCACAAGCTTACATATACTCATGAGGCATGAATTTCAAAGTAATCAGATTTTACTGCTTTGTTTGAATACTTCTTTTTTTCAGGGTGGAATGATTGTGCAGCATACATCTTTAATGACTTAAAAACAAGAACCGGGTGCAAAAGTCTGAATTTATTTTGGACTTTCTCTAATCTACAGGGTCGAAACTATACATATAGGCTCATATATATGTATACATCCCCACTAATATTTGGCTAAATGTCCCTTAGCAAGTTGCGCCTCAACCAGATGCTTTTGGTAGCCACTAACAAGCTTCTTTTATAATTCTGGCTGTATTTTTGACCACTCTTCTTAACAGAATTGGTAGAGTTAATTTAAACTGACTGGTTTTCTGGCACAGACACAGCTTTTAGCCAGTCTTCTTGTCAAAAGGATAGAGGTCGGGGCTTTGGGAAGTCCAATCCAGAAGCTTAATGTTAACCTGCTTTATTGATGCCAAAATAAGTTTTTGATGTGTGTTTGGGATCATTGGGTTTAAACACCCAATTGTGTCCAATTTTTAACCTACCTATTCATGTTAGGTGAAGTTGAAGTATATGGAGGTAGTCCTCCTTCCTTATTATTCAATCCACTTTGTGCAATGTACCAGTACCACTGACAGCAAAATGGCCCCAGAGCATGATGCTGCCACCACCATGCTTAACAGCCAGTACAGTGGTCTTAGGTTTGATGATATAAAACATACTTCACTGTGGACAGTGACACTGGTGTTCCAGCAGTCTCATCAAAGTGGTGACACAACGGAGTAGCTTGTACTTACGTACAGTTATTTGAAAGGATGATCTTGGAATCTGTAGTTGTTTAGAAATGATGCCAATAGACCTTCTCAACTTGTGTACATTTACAAGTCTCCTTTGTAAAGCTCAACTTAGCTCCATCGTGTTGGTCAATCCAATGAGTGCTGTTACAAAAAATCTTTTTTGTGCTGTCAAAGAGAAACTACCAGCTGTAGTCAATTATGATTACTAAGGAGAAGTTAATTGGACTTGGCCTTCAAGGTTAAAGACATTACAGAACCTTTGGCACCACTTAGCTATAAAGCATGTCTACTTGTTCCATCCTCGAAAAAGAGCAGTTCAAAGAAATAATTAAATGCCCCAAATCATCATGACATTCATGACATGAGTGTATGTAGACTTGTGACCACAAATGTATAGCCTCACACTGACTCTGGTTTACTTACAGGGATTACAAACCCAGCGGATTTTGAGGAGGAAGCGATCCATGATCCCAACGGGGAGACTTTAACCTTGGAAGCCAAAATGCAGCCTCTCCTGCTTGACTCCATGACAAAAAGCAAAGATGGTTTTCTTGGAGTAAGACAATACCAAACTCTGCGTGCTTCCTTTATACTGCTGGTTTATTGTTCTCTTTCTCATCGCTGCTCTACAGCGTCTGCAGAGGACTGCTTTAATCAAAATCACAGCACAGAAAATCCTAGAAGGGGCTAAATTATAGCGTGTTGATGCAGTTATTGTTGATAAATGTGCTTGTACATTGTCTGACTGTCTTACTCAGCTCTTTGTGAATGCAGCTCATTCAAAAGGTGCAAGCAGCCTTGAATTGAATCCAGAATGAAACTGCTGAGAATTTGTAATGCTTGTGCTTTCCAAAATTACCTTCCTCCATCTCTTTCAGGTTTCTCACAGCTCTCTGAGCGGGCTGCGGTCTTGGAAGAGCCCAGCAGTGCCTTCTTCGTCCTTCTCTGCAAGCCACTTTAGGGTGTTCTTGCCCCCGAAGAACAAGATAGAAGTCGGTGACACGTGGTGGGTGATCCCCAGCGAGCTCAACATTTTCACTGGATACCTGCCCAATAACCGTTATCACCCTCCCACACCAAGGGGCAGAGAGGTAGCCTAAAAATCCATCTCTGTTTGGCCTATGGTTAGATTGTAACTTGCGATTATTGCACTGCATAGTGGCTTATGGTTCTTTGGCTCTTGGTGCAGGTCCTCATCCACTCCTTGTTGAGCATGTTCCACCCTCGGCCCTTCATCAAAACCCGCTTTGCTCCGCAGGGCGCAGTCGCCTGCATCCGAGCCAGCAACGACTTCTATTACGACATTGTCTTCAGGTGAGGAGGGAGTAAGGAGGATGGCAGTGTTTTTTAATACGTTTGAACTATTAAACTGCAAAATATGTGTATTATACATTAGTGCTGATTGATGTCTAAAGCACACAGTGAATTTTAAATTTATTACGAGTCACTGTGTTCACTTTATTATTCTGTCAAAGGTTTTACAGGAATTCTGTATGGATGAATTCAACTTTTAGTTAGTAAGGAAGCAAAAGATGGAATTATTTGTTTTTATGCTCATTCATGACTTTTTAGTTTCCAGCTTTAGCTCCATATGACAGCCACAAACCATAGACAGAGTGAGCCTGGTTCTGCTGGAGGTTTCTTCCTGTTAAAAGGGATTTTTTTCCAAGTGCTTTGTCACAGGGAGTGGGCTGATTGTTGGGGTTTTCTCTTTATTATTGTAGGGTCTTTACCTTGCAATATAAAGCGCCTCGAGGTGACTGTTGTGGTGATTTGGTGCTATATAAATACAATTGCAGTGAAAAAGCACTCTAATTGTAAATATTTAAAGCAGAAGTTTCCAACTCGCTCAAAGGCCATGTTGGAAAATGAGAAAAGCACGTATGTTGATGTGCTTTAAATAAATATGTAGACTGCCCTACGATCAACTCATAAGAACCCGTTTCACAAGCCTGAATGTGACAACTAGTGGCAGCTTTTATAAGACAAAATTCAATCAGACAAAACACAATAATGAAGATTTACTACTTGTGATCTTGCACATATTTCTACAAATCTCACAGAGCCTGTTTCAGGGGCCTGAAAGCAACAACTCAGTACTCATGTGGGAGATTTCAATTAAAAGAAAAACAGTTAGTTATAGTAGTTAAAATTCTTTGACAGTAGCCTTTATCTCATTGCAGATGGTTGTACAGACCATTCCTTACACATGGTAAATAAAAAATCAGTCTCCCACCTTTCGCAAAATTGTCTGCCTCCAGCATCAACTGGCCTTTTCTGTTACTCTGAGCGTAGTAGCTTGCAGGTGCAGTGGAAGGGCACCCTTCTGTTTAACTTGCTGTGTGCGTCAGGTGCACGTTGCTATGGGGACCATTCCCAGAAATGGGCTGACCAAAATGTACTGAAAACCCAAAGTGATATGTGGGTAGGATTCAGTTAATTCGTGAGTTTGACACCTGTGGTTTGAAGTCTTTGTGATGCTGCTGTAGTAAAATAAAGCCTCTGACAGCTTTGTGAAGGTCGAAAATCAAAACACCGTGCAAATGTTATGACCTGACTCCCTGGTTAGTTCTTGTAAGGATTTCCGACAGAGACTTACGTGCTCTCAATTTTTACTCCTTCTGTTCACCCCTGCAGGATTCATGCAGAATTCCAGCTCAATGATATTCCAGATTTTCCCTTCTGGTTCACACCAGGCCAGTTCACTGGCAACATTGTCCTCTCTAAAGACGCCTCTCACGTCCGCCTCTTCCACCTTTATGTCCCCAGTAACAGGTAAATCCCTCTCACACACACACAAACTGTCACACGTGTTCATATACTCCCCTATCGATAGATCGTTGTGAAGTTTGGGTGCCACCTGTGCTGTGTTACAGGTCTCTGAATGTAGACATGGAGTGGCTCTACGGAGCCAGTGAGAGCAGCAATATGGAGGTGGACATTGGTTACCTGCCACAGGTATGGCTGTTTATCTCAACACTAACTGTTCTCATCACTGTGTAGCTGCATCAGTATTGTTTCTGGGTTTTTATTTTAAGTCTGACTGTCCTAACTTAGTCTTTAAGTTAAGTCACATCTATTTGATTTCCAGTCAATCAAACAGTATTAATGTCACGGTAACTGCCTGTTTTGACTTTAATTTAAAATCCATATGGATTAAATACTTATGAATCTGTTAATTTACTCAGACATGTGTGGAATTTCACAGAATGTAAAAGATGATCCCCAGAAAAGACACACAAGAGTGTCTGATGTAAAGCGTGTGTAATATTTCTAACGAGAACTTGCGTTTGCAGTTAGAGCTCCAGTCGGCGGGCCCGTCCACTCCCTCCGTCATCACTGACGAGCAGGGTAATATCATTGATCGGCGTGACAGCAGCAATGAGCCCATCCAGTTTGTCTTTGAGGAAATCCACTGGACCTCAGAGATCAGTCAGGAGGAAGCTGCTCGCCGCATGGAGGTCACCTTCTATCCCTTTAAGAAGGTAATTCTCTACGTTCGGATAAGTTGGTGATTGTGTTATTGCACACAGTGTCGGTGTAACACTGTGCTCCTTCCCAGGTGTCCTACCTGCCTTTTTCAGAGGCTTTCGATCGAGCCCAAGCAGAGAAAAAGCTGGTGCACTCTATTCTGCTGTGGGGAGCTTTAGATGACCAGTCATGCTGAGGTGAGATAATGTCATGCTTCAAAAGTGCATCACAGTCATTCAATTTAAGCTGCTAGCTTTCTAAAGGCATACCATTACCAATTAAATATTGGAAATATGGCAGGTAAATACAGGTGTTACTAATGATGTACTAATTATGTTAATTAAGGATCTGTGCCAGTTATTCATGTCATTATTAATACCTGTGCTGGTTAATTATAATTCATTCAGTCTGCCAACTTTGACGACCATTACACCTATTTGGAGTTCTACCTTTTTCCTAATATGTTCACCGTATCCTTGTCTCCTCCCCACGCTTTTATAGGTTCGGGGCGAACTCTCCGGGAGACAGTCCTGGAAAGTTCGCCCGTCCTCGCCCTCCTCAACCAGAGCTTTATAAGCAGCTGGTCTCTGGTCAAAGAGCTGGAGAACCTGCAGGTAAGCAGCTATAGTGGTGAAAAATCCAAGAAAGTTGTGCAATTACTGAAAAATGTGCTCATCCTCTTACTTGAAGTACAGCTGTGTTTCCACTTAATAAATATCCTGTTTCCTCTTTTCCCAGGCTGATGAGCAAAACCCTGCGTTGAGTGAAAAGGCTCGCTTACACCTTGAAAAGTACAGTTTTCCTGTGGAGATGATGGTGGCTCTGCCCAATGGAACCATTGTAAATATTATTTTTCATAGAATTAAATCATAGGCAAAAGCACACAATTGGGAATATTAGGATAATAAATGTTGGCTATCTGCATTCTCCATGTTGCATTAGCAGTGAAACAACACAGTCAACTGTGAGGCTGATGGCAATGAAATAATAAAAATGAAATACGGTAACATTAGCTTAAGTGGATGCATCATATCCCCGTAAGTGCCCACTGACTAGCCGAGCATAATAAAACTGGCAGAGATATGGAAGACTCTGCCAAAAATGTACTACATAGAAAGTTATTTACAGTTTTATTAGCAGCTACTGCAGAAAGTGTTGTGAAAGTCTTACTTTGAAAATGCCATATTAACCCTGGCTTGACCAAGTATAGATGCGAAGAAGAAAGAAGCCTCTAAAGCCTTTTATCCTCTTTTATGTGGTTTCAGGTTCATCACATCAATGCCAACTTCTTCTTAGATCAAACTGCCATGAAACCCGAGGAGGAAGAAGCAACTTTCAGCTTCTCCGGCGGCTTCGAAGATCCCTCCACATCCACTTATATCAGCTTCCTGAAAGAGGGCTTGGAGAAAGCCAAGGAGTACCTGGCACAGTAATGTGTTTGAGCTTAACCAGACTGGGCAAATGATCCAAGATTAGGAAAACCTACCAAGCATCTGGTGGCGTTCCTCTTCTGTGTGTGTTGGCAGCTGGAAACATTTTTGCCTTCCGTACTCTTTGCTACTATTTATTTGGACGAATCTCTCGGTTAAAAAAAAAGTTTTATATAGTATTTGTATTGTGACAAGTAGAAATCCAAAGGCCTTCCACGCTGAGCAGGAACAAATACAGTATGTCACACATTTAGACTTGCTCTTTATCCTTGTAGCTGCTGAATAACATAGCTATAAGATATAGATGGAGGCCTACCAAGTCCCAGATTAGTGTCAGTACCATTCTTTAGTGCATTACAACCCAGTATAGTATTCAGTATTTCTTCTTTTATGTAGTGGTGTTGCATGTGCAGTATTTATTGACTGACTGAGCTTCTCTGCTGAGCGTACCCAGAGACGGAGCTGCTGGTGTTGTTTCCTCCAGCTGTGTTTCTGCAGTTAGTGAAGGCTTTGCCTGAAAGCTCTCCCCGAGCTGGGTAACGCCTGATGTTCTTGTTGAGGCTGCTGGAGGGAAACAACCTTCTCTGACTCGGGACAAAGGCATGAAGAGGAACTTAGAAACTGGACTGCAGAGCGTAAAATGAATGAATCAGACGTTTTCCCATATAGCTTGTGT